TCTGTTCCCTCTCGGCCTCCCATGCCACCCCTGCACCCTCCTTCACACACAGGTGGGGCAGCAGATCATAACGGACCTGGTGCTCGTGCATCTCGACAGGCCCTTGGACAAGCTGCGCCTCCTCGTGTGAGTTGCTGCCTGCCTGCCTCCCTCCCTCCCTCCCTCCCTCCCTCCCTATATGTGAGTTGTTCCCCCCCTCTGTATAACTTCCATCCATGTGGCTCCCTGTACTCTCCTCCTCATGCCTGCACACATGCCTGCACGGGCCTTGTGCTCGTGCATCTCGACAAGCCCAGGGACAAGCATTGAGGCGCCTCAAAATACACCTCAATGCGTGCACGGGCCTTGTGCTCATGCATTTCGACAAGCCCAGGGACAAGCAAGCACCGTCTTCTCATGTGAGTCGCTCCCTCCCTGCCTGTACCTTCCTTCCATGTGGCTCCCTGTAGCCTCCACGTGTCTTCATGCATATCTCCCCACGTGACTCCGCATGCCTCCGTGTGTGCCTTCTTCGTAGCTCTCCGCGTGCTTTTGAGTCGACTCAAAAGCAGCCTCCGTGTGGGCTTGCGCTTGGGTACCTTCAACGTAGCTCCCCAAGTGCACGTATCTTCTGCGCACAAGGCTGAACTCGCATTGCCCTCTCCATCAGCTTCATGCTGCACAAGCTGTGGTCGATGCGATGCTGGACGGACTACCTCAGGAGGACGGCACGGCATGGACACTCTCACGCACCACGAGCTCTAAAAGGCCTCATCTCCCCCCTTGTGCTTGGCTCTCTTTGCTTGTGCCTGTGCCTGCCTCTAACTCTTGTCTTCGTGCTTCCCCCCCTCCCTCTCAGTTTCATGCTGCACAAGCTGTGGTCGATGGTGGACGGGCTATCACAGGAGGACTCACAGGACACGCTCATGCACCACGAGCTCTACCTGCCTTCAACCCCAACCTTGTGCCTTTTCCGCGTTCACTTATGCGTGTGCCTCTTTCTCTTGTGCTTGACGCCCCCAGTTTCATGCTGCACAAGCTGTGGTCGATGGTGGATGGGCTATCCCAGGAGGACTCAATGGACACGCTCATGCACCACGAGCTCTACCTGCCCGGCCACATCCTCAACATCTTCATCAAGGTCCGCTCCCTCTCTCTCTTGCTCTCTCCCTGCGCTCTCCATGCTCTCTCAATCTTCTTTTCCTGCTGTCTTCCTGAGTTATCTCATGCACCACGAGCTCTACCTGCCCGGCCACATACTCAATATCTTCATCAAGGTCCGCTCCCTCTCTAAGAAGTTGTAACTGCTGCACTCCCTATGCCTGCCTATGGAACGCACCCCTCCCCTCCCCTCCCCTCCCCTCCCCTCCCCTCCCCTCCCCTCCCCTCCCCTCCCCTTGTGCCCCCTTCCCTTCTCCGTATTCCGCAATCCGCCATCACAGCAGAAGCTCGAGCTACACTCGCAACTCTCGTTTCATTTCTCCTCCCTCTTGCCCTTGTCACCCCCCCCCTTCCCTTCCCTTTCCTCCCACCCCCTTCCCTTTCTTTTTCCTTGCCTTACCTTCTCCATACCCCACATTCCACCATATCAGGAGAAGATACAGCTGCACAAGATTAAAGCGCATGCCCCCCCCCCCCCCCCCCCTTCACTTCTCCTGCCCTGTATCCCACTCCCACACTCCACCCTCGCAGGGAAAGCTGCAGCTACGCCTGCACAAGATACACGCGCATGCGGCATGCCACCCACCCCTTTCCTCCCCTCCGCTCCCCTCCCCTTGTTTCCCTTTCACTCTTCTCCATCGCAGGAGAAGCTGCAGGTACACCTGCACAAGATCCAAGCGCACGCCGCCCAGGAGCTCGTGGACAACCCCACCACCACGGACCTCCGCGCCTCCAACTGGCTGCGCCGCCTCGTCGAGGGCGGCCGGCCCGGGGCGGCAGGGGCGGCGCCGGCGGGCGGGCTGTCGATGACGTTCATAGGAAAGGACATAGAGTACATGCTGAACACGGGGAACCTCGCGAGCCTGTCCGGGCTGGACATGCAACAGAGGTCGGGGTTCACTGTTGTTGCGGATAAACTGAATTGGCATCGGTACCTCTCGCATTTCCGGTCCGTGCATCGCGGCGCGTTCTTCTCCACTCTTCGGACGACTACCGTGCGCAAGCTGCTGCCCGAGTGAGTGGGCTTTAGTGTGGGGGTGTGGATGTGAAGGGGGGGAATAGAGCCCGTCAGGGCTGGGCTGGGAATGACGTTCATGGGGAAGGACATAGAGTACATGCTGAACACGGGGAACCTCGCGAGCTTGTCAGGGCTGGATATGCAACAGAGGTCGGGGTTCACGGTGGTGGCTGATAAGCTCAACTGGCACCGGTACCTGTCTCACTTTAGGTCCGTGCATCGAGGAGCTTTCTTTTCAACGCTTCGCACCACCACCGTGCGCAAGCTGCTGCCAGAGTGAGTGGGCGCTGTGTGAGGGTGTGGGAGTGGGAGTGGGGGGGGAATAGAGCCCGTCAGGGCTGGGCTGGCGATGGCGTTCGTGGGGAAGGACATACATAGAGTACATGCTGAACACGGGGGCTGGACATGTCTCAGAGGTCGTGGCTGATAAGCTCAACTGGCACCGGTACCTCTCGCATCTCCAATCCGTCCACCGAGGGGCATTCTTCTCGACTCTTCGCACCACCACCGTGCGAAAGCTGCTGCCAGAGTGAGTGTGCCTAACAGGGGGCGGAGGTGGGAGATGCGGGGGGCCCCTGCCCTGCGGCCTCCTCAGTTACCCAACGCACAGCACTTTTTTTCCCTTTCCTCACTCCCTCATCTCCCAACACCCCCCTTCTTGCTTCTCACCCCGTAATTGCAGGTCGTGGGGGTTCGTGTGTCCCGTGCACACACCCGATGGGGCCCCTTGCGGCCTCCTCACCCATCTGTCAGCCCCATGCACTGTCACCACCGACCTCACCCCCCCTCCCCTCGCCTCCCCCTCCCCCTCCGCCCCCTCCTCCTCCTTAGCCCTCCTCCCCTCCACCCCCGGCTCTGCTCTCGTCCCCCACACCCCCTCCAAACCTGCCGGAACTCCCGGAGCTGGCTCCCTAGCCTCGGGGCTAGGTTCGGGAGTAGGCTCGGTGAAGTCCCGCGACGCGATTGGCCGGGCGGTGCTGCGGTGTTTGGCGCCGTTTGGGCTGGCGGCGGTGGGGGCGGGGGTGCCTCCCCCTGCCCCGCCTCCGGTGTTTCTGGCGGTGATGGTGGATGGGTGTGTGCTGGGGCACATTCACTCCGAGATGGCACCGGCTGCTGTGAAGCATCTGAGGTGCCTCAAGGCTACGGGCGAAGCGGGAGTGAGTGGCTCTGGCTGTGTCGTTCTGTGGTTTGGGGAATGGTTTGGAGATGGCCCCGGGTGCTGTGAAGCATCTGAGGTGTCTCAAGGCTTCTGGGGAGATAGCGTTGGCTGGTTTGACTGGAGTGGGGTTTGGAGTGCAATGGGGCAGGTGACGTGATGGTGCCATCTGCATTTCTTGGGGGCTGGTTCCAAATGCCTTGCTTCCCCCCTCCCCCAACATTCGTCTCCCTGCTCTCCTCCCCTTTCCCCCTTTCCACTCCAACCCCTGTTCCCCCCTCCCCCCCCACTCCAACCTTCCCGCCGCTCGCACAGATCCCTCGGGACCTAGAGGTCGCCTACATCCCATTCTCCCGTTGCCCCCACCGTTGCCCTCGTACCTTTCTCCTCACCCCCTCCCCCAACCCTTCCCCCTCCTCCCTTTCTCCCTCCGTCCCCACCTTGCGCAGATCCCTCGGGACCTAGAGGTCGCTTACATCCCATTCTCCAACCCCCACATCCCTGTTCCATTCTCCCACTTTTCCCACCACCGCCCCCCTCGCTTCCCTCTCCTCCTGTCTCTCCCACCGTCCCCACCTTGCACAGATCCCTCGGGACCTAGAGGTCGCTTACATCCCATTCTCCAACCCCCACATCCCTGTTCCATTCTCCCACTTTTCCCACCACCGCCCCCCTCGCTTCCCTCTCCTCCTGTCTCTCCCACCGTCCCCACCTTGCACAGATCCCTCGGGACCTAGAGGTCGCTTACATCCCATTCTCCAACCCCCACATCCCTGTTCCATTCTCCCACTTTTCCCACCACCGCCCCCCTCGCTTCCCTCTCCTCCTGTCTCTCCCACCGTCCCCACCTTGCGCAGATCCCTCGGGACCTAGAGGTCGCTTACATCCCATTCTCCAACCCCCACATCCCTGTTCCATTCTCCCACTTTTCCCACCACCGCCCCCCTCGCTTCCCTCTCCTCCTGTCTCTCCCACCGTCCCCACCTTGCGCAGATCCCTCGGGACCTAGAGGTCGCTTACATCCCATTCTCCAACCCCCACATCCCTGTTCCATTCTCCCACTTTTCCCACCACCGCCCCCCTCGCTTCCCTCTCCTCCTGTCTCTCCCACCGTCCCCACCTTGCACAGATCCCTCGGGACCTAGAGGTCGCTTACATCCCATTCTCCAACCCCCACATCCCTGTTCCATTCTCCCACTTTTCCCACCACCGCCCCCCTCGCTTCCCTCTCCTCCTGTCTCTCCCACCGTCCCCACCTTGCGCAGATCCCTCGGGACCTAGAGGTCGCTTACATCCCATTCTCCAACCCCCACATCCCTGTTCCATTCTCCCACTTTTCCCACCACCGCCCCCCTCGCCCTCTCCTCCTGTCTCTCCCACCGTCCCCACCTTGCGCAGATCCCTCGGGACCTAGAGGTCGCTTACATCCCATTCTCCAACCCCCACATCCCTGTTCCATTCTCCCACTTTTCCCACCACCGCCCCCCTCGCTTCCCTCTCCTCCTGTCTCTCCCACCGTCCCCACCTTGCACAGATCCCTCGGGACCTAGAGGTCGCTTACATCCCATTCTCCAACCCCCACATCCCTGTTCCATTCTCCCACTTTTCCCACCACCGCCCCCCTCGCTTCCCTCTCCTCCTGTCTCTCCCACCGTCCCCACCTTGCACAGATCCCTCGGGACCTAGAGGTCGCTTACATCCCATTCTCCAACCCCCACATCCCTGTTCCATTCTCCCACTTTTCCCACCACCGCCCCCCTCGCTTCCCTCTCCTCCTGTCTCTCCCACCGTCCCCACCTTGCACAGATCCCTCAGGACCTAGAGGTCGCTTACATCCCATTCTCCAACCCCCACATCCCTGTTCCATTCTCCCACTTTTCCCACCACCGCCCCCCTCGCTTCCCTCTCCTCCTGTCTCTCCCACCGTCCCCACCTTGCGCAGATCCCTCGGGACCTAGAGGTCGCTTACATCCCATTCTCCAACCCCCACATCCCTGTTCCATTCTCCCACTTTTCCCACCACCGCCCCCCTCGCTTCCCTCTCCTCCTGTCTCTCCCACCGTCCCCACCTTGCGCAGATCCCTCGGGACCTAGAGGTCGCTTACATCCCATTCTCCAACCCCCACATCCCTGTTCCATTCTCCCACTTTTCCCACCACCGCCCCCCTCGCTTCCCTCTCCTCCTGTCTCTCCCACCGTCCCCACCTTGCGCAGATCCCTCGGGACCTAGAGGTCGCTTACATCCCATTCTCCAACCCCCACATCCCTGTTCCATTCTCCCACTTTTCCCACCACCGCCCCCCTCGCTTCCCTCTCCTCCTGTCTCTCCCACCGTCCCCACCTTGCGCAGATCCCTCGGGACCTAGAGGTCGCTTACATCCCATTCTCCAACCCCCACATCCCTGTTCCATTCTCCCACTTTTCCCACCACCGCCCCCCTCGCTTCCCTCTCCTCCTGTCTCTCCCACCGTCCCCACCTTGCGCAGATCCCTCGGGACCTAGAGGTCGCTTACATCCCATTCTCCAACCCCCACATCCCTGTTCCATTCTCCCACTTTTCCCACCACCGCCCCCCTCGCTTCCCTCTCCTCCTGTCTCTCCCACCGTCCCCACCTTGCACAGATCCCTCGGGACCTAGAGGTCGCTTACATCCCATTCTCCAACCCCCACATCCCTGTTCCATTCTCCCACTTTTCCCACCACCGCCCCCCTCGCTTCCCTCTCCTCCTGTCTCTCCCACCGTCCCCACCTTGCACAGATCCCTCGGGACCTAGAGGTCGCTTACATCCCATTCTCCAACCCCCACATCCCTGTTCCATTCTCCCACTTTTCCCACCACCGCCCCCCTCGCTTCCCTCTCCTCCTGTCTCTCCCACCGTCCCCACCTTGCACAGATCCCTCAGGACCTAGAGGTCGCTTACATCCCATTCTCCAACCCCCACATCCCTGTTCCATTCTCCCACTTTTCCCACCACCGCCCCCCTCGCTTCCCTCTCCTCCTGTCTCTCCCACCGTCCCCACCTTGCGCAGATCCCTCGGGACCTAGAGGTCTCTTACATCCCATTCTCCAACCCCCACATCCCTGTTCCATTCTCCCACTTTTCCCACCACCGCCCCCCTCGCTTCCCTCTCCTCCTGTCTCTCCCACCGTCCCCACCTTGCGCAGATCCCTCGGGACCTAGAGGTCGCTTACATCCCATTCTCCAACCCCCACATCCCTGTTCCATTCTCCCACTTTTCCCACCACCGCCCCCCTCGCTTCCCTCTCCTCCTGTCTCTCCCACCGTCCCCACCTTGCGCAGATCCCTTGGGACCTAGAGGTCGCTTACATCCCATTCTCCAACCCCCACATCCCTGTTCCATTCTCCCACTTTTCCCACCACCGCCCCCCTCGCTTCCCTCTCCTCCTGTCTCTCCCACCGTCCCCACCTTGCGCAGATCCCTCGGGACCTAGAGGTCGCTTACATCCCATTCTCCAACCCCCACATCCCTGTTCCATTCTCCCACTTTTCCCACCACCGCCCCCCTCGCTTCCCTCTCCTCCTGTCTCTCCCACCGTCCCCACCTTGCACAGATCCCTCGGGACCTAGAGGTCGCTTACATCCCATTCTCCAACCCCCACATCCCTGTTCCATTCTCCCACTTTTCCCACCACCGCCCCCCTCGCTTCCCTCTCCTCCTGTCTCTCCCACCGTCCCCACCTTGCACAGATCCCTCGGGACCTAGAGGTCGCTTACATCCCATTCTCCAACCCCCACATCCCTGTTCCATTCTCCCACTTTTCCCACCACCGCCCCCCTCGCTTCCCTCTCCTCCTGTCTCTGCCACCGTCCCCACCTTGCGCAGATCCCTCGGGACCTAGAGGTCGCTTACATCCCATTCTCCAACCCCCACATCCCTGTTCCATTCTCCCACTTTTCCCACCACCGCCCCCCTCGCTTCCCTCTCCTCCTGTCTCTCCCACCGTCCCCACCTTGCGCAGATCCCTCGGGACCTAGAGGTCGCTTACATCCCATTCTCCAACCCCCACATCCCTGTTCCATTCTCCCACTTTTCCCACCACCGCCCCCCTCGCTTCCCTCTCCTCCTGTCTCTCCCACCGTCCCCACCTTGCGCAGATCCCTCGGGACCTAGAGGTCGCTTACATCCCATTCTCCAACCCCCACATCCCTGTTCCATTCTCCCACTTTTCCCACCACCGCCCCCCTCGCTTCCCTCTCCTCCTGTCTCTCCCACCGTCCCCACCTTGCGCAGATCCCTCGGGACCTAGAGGTCGCTTACATCCCATTCTCCAACCCCCACATCCCTGTTCCATTCTCCCACTTTTCCCACCACCGCCCCCCTCGCTTCCCTCTCCTCCTGTCTCTCCCACCGTCCCCACCTTGCGCAGATCCCTCGGGACCTAGAGGTCGCTTACATCCCATTCTCCCAGCAAGGAACCTTCCCCGGCATCTTCCTCTTCTCCGCACCGGCGCGCTTCGTCCGTCCAGTGCGGCAGCTGCCCTCGCTCAACCCAAGGGCCACTGCAGCGCCCACGTTTGAGCTCATCGGGAGTTTGGAGCAGGTAGGGTGGGGTGGTGACGGCAGTAGTCTGTTTTTAAGGCGCCTCAAAAACTGTCTCGAGCAGGTGGTAGGGCGCAGCAAGCTGGCGGGCCAGGCAGTAAAGTATAGCGCAGGTGGGATTTGCCCCCGTGTCTTCATTCATTCGTCGTGTGCTGTGCGGCAGCTGCCCTTCCTTCCTCACCCTAGAGCCGCCTCACCCAGCGTTCTGCTTCTCACACGCCCAAGTGCGCACCCATGTCCACTTCTCATTTCGTCTGTGGTCCTTAGCTCGCTCTCAGCACTACAACCCCCCTGAAACCATTCTTCCTTCTCCCACTTTTTCCATTTCCCCTTTCTCCCGCTTTTCCCCTGCACCTCCTTTCCCTCTCTTCGCTCTCTTGTTCTCGCTTCCTCACCTTCCCTGTCTTCCCCAGCTTCCTCCGCTTCCGCTGCTTCCCCCCCGCTGCAGGTCTTTCTGGACGTGCTCTGCCCCGATGGCTTGTCGCGACCCTTGAGTCAACTCAGAAGTTCTAATTTCACTCTCTTCCCCCTATTCCTCATCTTTCTTCACGTCCCCCCTTCCGCGTTCCCCCCTCCTGCAGGTCTTTCTGGACGTGCTCTGCCCTGATGGATCGTCGCCCTCTCCCACCACAGACCAAGGCTCGGCGGCAGGTTCGGCGACGCACGAGGAGGTTCGGCCGACGGACATCCTGAGTGTGATGGCGAGCCTGACCCCCTGGTCGGACTACAACCAGAGCCCCCGCAACATGTACCAGTGCCAGGTCAGCACAGCATGTACCAGTGCCAGGTCAGCAAAGCATGTACCAGTGCCAGGTCAGCAAAGCATGTACCAGTGCCAGGTCAGCAAAGCATGAACCAGTGCCAGGTCACCATTTCAGACTTAAACTGTGAAATGTCTACCTCTGATCTCTGACGCGTGTTACGTTTTGCCCAACAGATGGGCAAGCAGACGATGGGCATGCCGCTGCACTCCTTCCCCTTCCGCAATGACAACAAGCTGTACCGCCTGCAGACGCCTCAGACACCCCTAATACCCTCCTGTTCCTGCTCACAACATGTGTGTTTGTGTGTCTATCTCTGTATGTGTGGGCTCCCATGCATGTGCGTCCATGCAACAGATGGGGAAGCAAACGATGGGCATGCCTTTGCACTCGTTCCCCTTCCGCAATGACAACAAGCTGTACCGCCTGCAGACGCCCCAGACTCCCATCGCCCGCACGGCAGCGTATGACGACTATGCCATGGACCAGTACCCCACTGGTGCCAATGCTGTCGTGGCCGTGCTGGCTTATACCGGGTACGTGCTTGTACGGGGTATGTGCTTATACCGGGTATGTGGGTGGGGTGTGCTATAAGGGGGATGGATCATGGATGGGTGAGTGGGGGCAGCACGGCAGCGTATGACGACTATGCCATGGACCAATACCCCACCGGGGCCAATGCTGTCGTTGCAGTGCTGGCTTATACTGGGTACGTGCTTATACTGGGTATGTGCTTATACTGGGTATGTGGGGTGTGCTGTAAGGGGGTGGTTGGGGATGGGGCAGCACGGCAGCGTATGACGACTATGCCATGGACCACTACCCCACTGGGGCCAATGCTGTCGTGGCCGTGCTGGCTTATACCGGGTACGTGGTGTGATGGCTTATACTACCAGGTATGTGGGGTGCGCTATAAGGGGGACTGTAAACCTCATGGCTGTACGCTTGCTGTTTCACGCACCTTCCACTTCTTGTTTTTATCCCTTGAACTCCTTGTATGTCCTTTACTAGTTGTTTATCTTCCTGTCACCTGCCCGTTCACCTCCCCGTTCACCTGCCCGTTCATCTGCCCGTTGACCAGGTACGACATGGAGGATGCCATGATCATCAACAAGTCGTCCATGGAGAGGGGCTTTGGCCACGGTTACATCTACAAGGTACGGTTACATCTACAAGGTACGGTTACATTAGGCACGGTTACATCCACAAGGTAAGGTTACATCCACAAGGTAAGGTTACATCCACAAGGTACTGTTACATTACATCTACAATGCACCTGGACCAATCCAATACCCACTCCCTGTACCCTCATGAGCCTTGTTTCCACATCTCTGTCTGTCTTGCCGCCCGCCTGAATCCCTCTCCCCACCAGAACGAGGTGATCGAGGCCACCCAGGGGTCAGCATCACGCGTGGCCAAGTTCACGCCGTCCGGGCTGCCCGTGCAGATGCTGGGGCGGCCGGCTATTCACCGGCGCGGGCACAAGTGGACCATTGACACTGATGGGCTGCCTCGCCCTGGGGAGGTGCGTGAATGAATCAAGGGATCAAATGGGAGAATGGGAGGGAGGAAGGGAGGCAAAGGGCCGGCCTGCCAGTGCAGATGCTGGGGCGGGCGGCTGGGAACAGGTGAACACAGTGACGGGCACAAGTGGACCATCGACACTGATGGGCTGCCCCGGCCTGGGGAGGTGCGTGAATGAACCAAGGGATTAAATGGGAGAATGGGAGGGAGGGAAGGAGGCAGAGGGCTGGCCTGGCAGTGCAGATGCTGGGGCGGGCGGCTGGGAACAGGCGCGGACACAAGTGGACCATTGACACTGATGGGCTGCCCCGCCCTGGGGAGGTGCGTTTGTTACGAGGGGAGGGGGGGCGGAGGGAGGGAGGGAGGGAGGTAGGGGGATGATGGGGGGGGCAGCTGGCAAGCGGCCAAGGCGGAGCAGACAGAACTGATGCTATCTAAATCACACCCCCACCTACCTACTGCTGCCTCGTCCTCTGTGCCCCTCCCTCTGTGCCCCCCTTACAGCACATCACGAGTGGTGACGTGTACGCATGCAAGGTGAACACAGTGACGGGCAAGGCGGACGAGATGAAGCTCAAGGAATTTCCCTCCCTTTTGCTTCCCTTTCCTCCCTCCCTTCCCTTTCCCACCTCCCTTCCCTTTCCTCCCTCCCCTCCGTTTGCTCCCTCCTTTCCCCTACCCCCTTTACAGCACATCACAAGCGGCGACGTGTACGCATGCAAGGTGAACACAGTGACAGGCAAGGCGGACGAGATAAAGCTCAAGGGGTCAGAAGATGCGGTGGTGGATGGGGTTACGCTCATCGGCACCGGCCCCAAGACAGCCCTCACTAAGGTATGTGCAATACTCATGGGACTCAGGGAACTGTTGAGGGAGCAGGCGCAGGGGATGGGGGGAAGTAGTCTCTCTGATCATCGGTGGTGGGGAGGGGCTCAAGGAGTGGGAGGATGCACTGGTGGACGGAGTCACCCTCATCGGCACCGGCCCCAAGACAGCGCTCACTAAGGTGCGTGGGAGACTGAGGGGGGACCCTTGAGAGAACCGAGAGTGCTGCTGTGAGGGCAGAGGCAGTGCCATGCAGGTGAGGAGCAGCTGAAGGGGCTGAAGGGGTGGGAGGATGCGGTGGTGGATGGGGTCACGCTCATTGGCACCGGCCCCAAGACAGCACTCACTAAGGTGCGGCCCTAAACCTCTGTGGTGAGGTTTAATAGAAAGTGCAGGGAAAGGTGGGGGGGTACTGGGGTCGTCAACGGTGGGGAGGATGGTTGGAGGGGCTGAAGGGGTGGGAGGATGCGGTGGTGGATGGGGTCACGCTCATCGGCACCGGCCCCAAGACAGCGCTCACTAAGGTGCTCGCGATACTCAGGGGAGTCTTGAGGGAACCAAGAGTGCTGCTGTGAGGAAGACGGCGTATGTGAGGGAGAAGTCGTATGTGAGGGAGAAGTCGTATGTGAGGGAGAAGTCGTATGTGAGGGAGAAGTCGTATGTGAGGGAGAAGTCGTATGTGAGGGAGAAGTCGTATGTGAGGGAGAAGTCGTATGTGAGGGAGAAGTCGTATGTGAGGGAGAAGTCGTATGTGAGGGAGAAGTCGTATGTGAGGGAGAAGTCGTATGTGAGGGAGAAGTCGTATGTGAGGGAGAAGTCGTATGTGAGGGAGAAGTCGCGGGGGATGAGGAGGGAGGGAAGGGCAGAATTATTCGAGCGATTTTCGAGGAGACTAAAAAATCATAAGGTATGGTCAGTCGGGCGGGCGTGAGCAACATCCGAGGCCCCTCGCCACCTTTTCTGCCCCCTGGGTACATGCACCCCTCGCATGCACCTCTCGCGTGCACCCCTCGCGTGCACCCCTCGCGTGCACCCCTCGCGTGCACCCCTCGCGTGCACCCCTCGCGTGCACCCCTCGCATGCACCCCTCGCGTGCACCCCTCGCGTGCACCCCTCTGCACCCCTCGCGTGCACCCCTCGCGTGCACGCCTCGCATGCACCCCTCGCGTGCACCCCTCGCGTGCACCCCTCGCGTGCACCCCTCGCGTGCACCCCTCGCGTGCACCCCTGGCGTGCACCCCTCGCTTGCACCCCTAGCGTGCACCCCTCGCGTGCACCCCTGGCGTGCACCCCTCGCGTGCACCCCTCGCGTGCACCCCTCTGCACCCCTCGCGTGCACCCCTCGCGTGCACCCCTCGCGTGCACCCCTCGCGTGCACCCCTCGCGTGCACCCCTCGCGTGCACCCCTCGCGTGCACCCCTCGCGTGCACCCCTCGCGTGCACCCCTCGCGTGCACCCCTCGCGTGCACCCCTGGCGTGCACCCCTCGCGTGCACCCCTCGCGTGCACCCCTCGCGTGCACCCCTCGCGCGTGCACCCCTCTCGTGCACCCCTCGCGTGCACCCCTCTGCACCCCTGGCGTGCACCCCTTGCGTGCACCCCTCGCGTGCACCCCTGGCGTGCACCCCTGGCGTGCACCCCTCGCGTGCACCCCTGGCGTGCACCCCTCGCGTGCACCCCTCGCGTGCACCCCTCGCGTGCACCCCTCGCGTGCACCCCTCGCGTGCACCCCTCGCGTGCACCCCTCGCGTGCACCCCTCGCGTGCACCCCTCGCGTGCACCACTCGCGTGCACCCCTCGCGTGCACCCCTCGCGCATGCACCCCTTGCGTGCACCCCTCGCGTGCACCCCTCTGCACCCCTCGCGTGCACCCCTCGCGTGCACCCCTCGCGTGCACCCCTCGCGTGCACCCCTCGCGTGCACCCCTCGCGTGCACCCCTCGCGTGCACCCCTCGCATGCACCCCTCGCGTGCACCCCTCGCGTGCACCCCTCGAGTGCACCCCTGGCGTGCACCCCTCGCGTGCACCCCTGGCGTGCACCCCTCGCGTGCACCCCTCGCGTGCACCCCTCGCGTGCACCCCTCGCGTGCACCCCTCGCGCGTGCATCCCTCTCGTGCACCCCTCGCGTGCACCCCTCTGCACCCCTGGCGTGCACCCCTGGCGTGCACCCCTGGCGTGCACCCCTCTGCACCCCTCGCGTGCACCCCTCGCGTGCACGCCTCGCATGCACCCCTCGCGTGCACCCCTCGCGTGCACCCCTCGCGTGCACCCCTCGCGTGCACCCCTCGCGTGCACCCCTCGCGTGCACCCCTCGCTTGCACCCCTAGCGTGCACCCCTCGCGTGCACCCCTCGCGTGCACCCCTCGCGTGCACCCCTCGCGTGCACCCCTCGCGTGCACCCCTCGCGTGCACCCCTCGCGTGCACCCCTCGCGTGCACCCCTCGCGTGCACCCCTCGCGTGCACCCCTCGCGTGCACCCCTCGCGTGCACCCCTCGCGTGCACCCCTCGCGCATGCACCCCTTGCGTGCACCCCTCGCGTGCTCCCCTCTGCACCCCTCGCGTGCACCCCTCGCGTGCACCCCTCGCGTGCACCCCTCGCGTGCACCCCTCGCGTGCACCCCTCGCGTGCACCCCTCGCGTGCACCCCTCGCGTGCACCCCTCGCATGCACCCCTCGCGTGCACCCCTCGCGTGCACCCCTCGAGTGCACCCCTGGCGTGCACCCCTCGCGTGCACCCCTGGCGTGCACCCCTCGCGTGCACCCCTCGCGTGCACCCCTCGCGTGCACCCCTTGCGTGCACCCCTCGCGCGTGCATCCCTCTCGTGCACCCCTCGCGTGCACCCCTCTGCACCCCTGGCGTGCACCCCTTGCGTGCACCCCTCTGCACCCCTCGCGTGCACCCCTCGCGTGCACGCCTCGCATGCACCCCTCGCGTGCACCCCTCGCGTGCACCCCTCGCGTGCACCCCTCGCGTGCACCCCTCGCGTGCACCCCTCGCGTGCACCCCTCGCTTGCACCCCTAGCGTGCACCCCTCGCGTGCACCCCTGGCGTGCACCCCTCGCGTGCACCCCTCGCGTGCACCCCTCGCGTGCACCCCTCGCGCGTGCACCCCTCTCGTGCACCCCTCGCGTGCACCCCTCTGCACCCCTGGCGTGCACCCCTTGCGTGCACCCCTCGCGTGCACCCCTGGCGTGCACCCCTGGCGTGCACCCCTGGCGTGCACCCCTGGCGTGCACCCCTGGCGTGCACCCCTGGCGTGCACCCCTGGCGTGCACCCCTGGCGTGCACCCCTCGCGTGCACCCCTCGCGTGCACCCCTCGCGTGCACCCCTCGCGTGCACCCCTCGCGTGCACCCCTCGCGTGCACCCCTCGCGTGCACCCCTCGCGTGCACCCCTCGCGTGCACCCCTCGCGTGCACCCCTCGCGTGCACCCCTCGCGTGCACCCCTCGCGCATGCACCCCTTGCGTGCACCCCTCGCGTGCTCCCCTCTGCACCCCTCGCGTGCACCCCTCGCGTGCACCCCTCGCGTGCACCCCTCGCGTGCACCCCTCGCGTGCACCCCTCGCGTGCACCCCTCGCGTGCACCCCTCGCATGCACCCCTCGCGTGCACCCCTCGCGTGCACCCCTCGAGTGCACCCCTGGCGTGCACCCCTCGCGTGCACCCCTGGCGTGCACCCCTCGCGTGCACCCCTCGCGTGCACCCCTCGCGTGCACCCCTTGCGTGCACCCCTCGCGCGTGCATCCCTCTCGTGCACCCCTCGCGTGCACCCCTCTGCACCCCTGGCGTGCACCCCTTGCGTGCACCCCTCTGCACCCCTCGCGTGCACCCCTCGCGTGCACGCCTCGCATGCACCCCTCGCGTGCACCCCTCGCGTGCACCCCTCGCGTGCACCCCTCGCGTGCACCCCTCGCGTGCACCCCTCGCGTGCACCCCTCGCTTGCACCCCTAGCGTGCACCCCTCGCGTGCACCCCTGGCGTGCACCCCTCGCGTGCACCCCTCGCGTGCACCCCTCTGCACCCCTCGCGTGCACCCCTCGCGTGCACCCCTCGCGTGCACCCCTCGCGTGCATCCCTGGCGTGCACCCCTCGCGTGCACCCCTCGCGTGCACCCCTCGCGTGCACCCCTCGCGCGTGCACCCCTCTCGTGCACCCCTGGCGTGCACCCCTTGCGTGCACCCCTCGCGTGCACCCCTGGCGTGCACCCCTGGCGTGCACCCCTCGCGTGCACCCCTGGCGTGCACCCCTCGCGTGCACCCCTCGCGTGCACCCCTCGCGTGCACCCCTCGCGTGCACCCCTCGCGTGCACCCCTCGCGTGCACCCCTCGCGCATGCACCCCTTGCGTGCACCCCTCGCGTGCACCCCTCTGCACCCCTCGCGTGCACCCCTCGCGTGCACCCCTCGCGTGCACCCCTCGCGTGCACCCCTCGCGTGCACCCCTCGCGTGCACCCCTCGCATGCACCCCTCGCGTGCACCCCTCGCGTGCACCCCTCGAGTGCACCCCTGGCGTGCACCCCTCGCGTGCACCCCTGGCGTGCACCCCTCGCGTGCACCCCTGGCGTGCACCCCTCGCGTGCACCCCTCGCGTGCACCCCTCGCGCGTGCATCCCTCTCGTGCACCCCTCGCGTGCACCCCTCTGCACCCCTGGCGTGCACCCCTGGCGTGCACCCCTCTGCACCCCTCGCGTGCACCCCTCGCGTGCACGCCTCGCATGCACCCCTCGCGTGCACCCCTCGCGTGCACCCCTCGCGTGCACCCCTCGCGTGCACCCCTCGCGTGCACCCCTCGCGTGCACCCCTCGCGTGCACCCCTCGCGTGCACCCCTCGCGCGTGCACCCCTCTCGTGCACCCCTCGCGTGCACCCCTCTGCACCCCTGGCGTGCACCCCTTGCGTGCACCCCTCGCGTGCACCCCTGGCGTGCACCCCTGGCGTGCACCCCTCGCGTGCACCCCTGGCGTGCACCCCTGGCGTGCACCCCTGGCGTGCACCCCTGGCGTGCACCC